TCAGTAGATTTTTGTACAAAATTGTACCTCACGTAACCACTAGTTGTACAATATACTATATGTATTAAATAATATATATATATATAAATAAAAATTACGCACTTAGATATAATAATTATATACATTAAGAATATTAATAATATCATAAAAATGAATAAAAGTCCTTAAAATAATCAAAATAAATTTGTGTAATAAAAAATAAAAATTAATGAATAAGGAATAATGACAAATTTTAAATAAACCAAAGGATAAGAAAAATAGGAGCAAACAAAAAGAAAAATCAAAAATTCGTTCAAAAAATTATATTTTTTCTATTTTTGCGCGATTTGTAAACACAACATAATTTATAAATTAACATACACTATCTCGTCGATAATAATAATTATCATTAATAATTTATACAGCGGATACACGACAGTGTTTGATTTTTTCGTCATCAATTCTTTTTAAATATTACAACAACAAATAATCGTAAACATCATGTCGATAAAGTATCAATGTTTTTCAATTAAACGTTCTCACTTAGTTCTTTGAGAAAATTAGAGAAAAGGAAGAAATAAAAAATACGACACATAAGAAGTAAAACAAAAAAGATAAAAAATGAAAAAGAGGTAGTCAAAATAAGAGAGAAGGACAATATTTCATGAAAAATAAAAGGCAAACAAGGCTTTTGCTATTATTTAAAAATATAATAAATGCGCGCAAAGAGCCTCGAATATCATTATTATATTTTTCTTCGTAATTTTTTATCACGAATCAGAAATATATATAAGATCATTAAGGAACGATGGAGATTAATTAATGACTGGAATGAAGAAAACTTAAATCGAAAAAGGACTCGAGAAAATAGGATAACAAAATAAATAATAGAAGCATTATAAACATGATTGATTACTTAACAACGTAACTAATTAATAATTAAATTAATAATCGAAATAGTGAATTATATTAATATATCGTACTGCGATGGCTATGTATTAATAATTACAAAATTTTTTTTTCACTTCTGGCACATTAACCAAATGTTATATTATATTATATAAGTCTACATTTCACAAATGTCAAAAATTTCTTATACTTTTTTCTGTTGATAGAAATCGAAGATTCGCTTCAGTTTAAGGCTGATTTGCACTTCTCGAATATACTTAAGAGCTGAGGAGCTTTCCAGTATTGGCTGCTATATGTATAATACGAAAATCTCATGGATCTCTTATCAATAATATCATCTCTAACAACAATGATTTATCTCGAACATCCCAATAAAAGAAATTGAAAACAGAATTCCATTTGTCATCAATCGCGGTTGACGTGGCTAATCTCGAGACAACTCGCTAAGAAATTCCTTTTCCCTTTCTTTTCCATCATCTCGTATTCTTATTCACAATAAATCTTTTAAGTCTTTTTAAAGGAGTCTTACAAACAGGAAGTACTCTAAGAACTTGGGCAAGCATCATTGGCAAGCAAATATAAAAACGGAAATTGAGAAAAGGTATTTCGTATTTCGCTTATTTCCGTTATTTATTTTATTTTTTCTTGTGCACCTTTTATCAAATACCTGTATTTGATTCTGTACACAGTGACGTTAATCTCACATTATTCAAAATTAATGTAATTACTTTTTTCATCTTATTCAATAATATTACTCTTTTTTCTATAAATTCATTTATTTTTTAAACGTACGAATGCTATCAAAAATATATTTCTTTTTAATTTCATTTATCAAACACATTAATGTTTATTATCAAAATACCACAAGAATCTCACTAAATGTAATTAAATTAAAAAAAATTTCTCTACTGAAATATCTAAATGAGATTAACATCACTAATTCATGCGTGAACAAATCCGTAGTTTACAATATTCAACTACAGAATGATTTAAAAATAGTGAGTAAAAAATGAAACACTTTGTGGTTTCAATTCCTCTCGATAAGAATATTCAAACCGCAAAATCTTGTTTTCGTGTTTGAAATTGAATATATTTCTATACAAACTTCATAGATATTCGATAATTTATTTTTAAAAAATGCTATTGAAAATTATTCAAACCAAAATATGGAATTTTCTGTTTTAAAAAACTGTTAGTGAAACAATTCTTAAGCATGCAGTAAGAATTTAAAACTAAGAGAAAAATTGAAACCAAAAAAGACAATTAGAAGACAAAGGGAAATATTTAAATAATGAAAAATATAACTGAAATTAAAGTGGTTAATTTTCTCAGGAAGGAATTGAAATCACAAAAAATCTATTTTTAAATCATCCTGAAAACAGTAACGTAGAGTTTAAGGACAATGCAATTTATTTTCACAGTAGTCAATGTCGACCTTTTCACTCCTGCTCTTTTTAAAATATCCAATTATCATAATAATCTTTCATGTAACATATGAAAGTTACTTAATTTTAAAAGAGACCAACATGTTCCGTCTCCGACTAATGAATACAAACAAACAAGAAAAAAACATATAACTCAACATCGTTGGGACGTAAATATAAGAATATTGGTCCTTAATATGTTAAGACAATTGACTCACTTTATTTTTTATTTTTTTCAAGATAGTTCTCTATCTTTTTCAATCTTTTTCCTTATCACTCTTTTCTTCAATAATAGTTCACTAACAGAAAAAAATGTCTTTCTAATCATGCCCTGCACGATTTATTCCATAACCTTCGTATTTTTCATAAAACAATTTTGTTGAATAATTTCTTCTAAAAGTAGATACAATTTGACAATACTCCTTTTTTAAGTAAAAATAATATAATAATGATAATAATAATAATAATATAAATATTTAATAATTAAAAATAATAATAATAATAACAATAATAATTGTTCTTTATTATTGTTATTATAATTACAGTAGGAAAAGTAATAACATTAATAATGACACTAGTTTCTAATAAGCGTACAGAGTTACTGCACGATAGTTGTATGCATTAACTTCAGTTTTCATTATTTATTTTTTGCAGGTACTTTTTTCTTCGCTCAAAACTTTCCTCTAAGTTTCATATACTGTATCATACTTCTTGATTATTAAAATCATATTTCCAAAGATAACAAATATTTTCCTTTTTTTTACATCTCACATTTCTTAATAGTAAATTAAAAAAAAAAGATTAAAAAAGGCATGAATAATTCAAGCGCGAATTATTATTAGAACATAAATTAATTTAAACAGGTGTTTTATTTTATTTTATTTTTAGAGAGAAAAAATCGAAAAATTTAGACGGAAAAAAGTGAAAATCGACCTATATATATATATATATATATATATATATATATATATTCTACTTTTATCATCGAAAATCAGAATTTCCATTATGAATTTTTATTCTTTGAAAATTCGAATTTTCATTTAAATATAAATATATTATGTATTTAGAAAATTTTAATGTTTATTTTTAAAAAATTAAACATTTATAGAAACTTTCATTCATTTATATGGAATCAAACACAATTTTCCATTTTTTTAATAATGTAACATACAAAATAGATTTTATTTTATACACGAAGAGTAAATTTCCAAAAAATTTGTAATTTATATTAAATTTCTTTTTAATTTCACAGAACTATACATAAATATTTTTTCCAATATTACATTATGATACATAATACACGAATTAATTTTTATATATATATAAAAATAATGTACTTAGATTGAAGTGTCAATTTTCAAGTGTCAAAGTTAAAGTAGAATGGCACTCTTTAAATATTTTGGGCAATTACAAAAAAAAAAAAAATAGTGTCGGAAAATTAAACCAAGACCAAGCGAGAAAATTTGGCACAAGAATCTATTTTTTTTCTTATCCAGCCAGGGTAAAAAGAAAAAGGATTTAAGATATAAAAGAGCGAGGAATAAAAATATATTCACAAATAATGGCAGCAGTCAGACATGGCTGGATACTTGAATATTAATTGAATATTCAATTTTAAAAATTTATACCTAAATCTTAAGCACTGTTTCCATATCAGCAGGAATGCCTAGTTTAATTGTCATTTTAAAGAATTATTATGCTTAGATTCATTACAGAGCGCTTCTTTTTCTCGATAAAAGCCAACTGAAATTTTGCCTAATTTAAAAAAAAAATTCCGAAAAACAGTAAAAACAACCACAGAACATAATTAAACAGTTTAATAATTCTAATTATTTAAATTTTTATTTAAACACATGTTTTTAATTTGAGAGATAATTTTTCTGAAATGAAGACACGTTTTTCAAAAAGGAAACTGATTCTTAAATTGCGACACATGCTTCTAAATTAATTTAAGAAAATGATTTTTAAATTTAAGATCAGTTTCTAAATTTTAAGAAGCTTTCTGTTTTTCGTTTATTCTTTTCTTTAGCATTCAAAAATATGTTATCAAGAGTTTTCTTAAACTCCAAAAGTAATAGTTTGCAATGTAACTAGAATACATTACTTGAGCGACAAAGATAAAAGACAAGAAAAGGTGTCTTTTGGCCTTACTCTTCTAATTTCAGTTTGCTTTTTTGATCGGACAAGTATCCTGACGAGCAAGTTCATCACCTGCAGGACCAGTAGGTGATAGTACACTTCACGCAGTAAGATTAAGTAAGTACGTATACGGTACCCTCCAAAAAAGTAATAATAAACAGTCGCGTGTGTGAAAAAATGACGACTCGATGTCATGAAAATGTTCCCCTCATCAGTGGCGATAATAACAATAAAAAATAATAATAATAATAATAATAATAATAATTAAAAAACAATGAGTAACAGAGAGACTGAAAATGAAATTAAGAAAAGGAGATACAATATGATAATACTGTTTGACACTGCCTTCAAAAGGACAAGCGCTAACGACAATTTTTTTCCCCAGAGGTCACCAACTTTAATCATTTTATAATATTCACTTTTTAGTGAATAATTTTTTACAATATTTTTCCTTGTACTTTTTGTAGTATATATTTTATAAAAATTTGTTTTTACAGAAATTCGTTTCAGAAATTTTATAAAAATATATTTATCAAGAAATATTTTTTATAAAAATATTACATTTTTCATAAAAATATATTATTTATTTATAACAGTTTTTAGTTAATATAGATATATACTTTTTTCTTTAAATAAAAATATTTTGTTTCTAAAGAAAGATCATGTTTTCTATGAAGACTTATTTTCAATACACGCCAAAGATTATAATTTAACTTTTACTATTTACAATGTGACAACTGAACTGTTTAGAATTTCTGTTCATTTTTACTATTTCCGGAGTAAATTTTACTTTTTCTTTAATTTACTTCGAAAATAGTATAAATGGGCTATAAAAATAAGCAGAACTTTCAGACAGTCTGGGTTTCACTTTGTGAAGAGTAAGTGATTATATTCGTTTTTTGTGTGCGAACTCTAGCGAATAATTTCTTATTACATCCAAATAGAAAACTATTCCTCAGTTTCGAAAGAAATAAAGTTTCTGTAAAAACTTCCGATTACCGAAAATTGACGCAAAATAAAAGAAAATTTTTCCAAAAAGGTACAAAACTTAGCAAACCCGAGGGAATCTCGACCCTGTTACGAAAGACGACAGTCTTTCTAAACTCGATGATCAATCATTTTTTAAAAACTGATCGAATAGACGAGACGAGAATCTAAATTTCGAATCTGGCCGATCCAGGTGACAAGGTCATTCCGTTTTGATAGTGGACGGCGACGCTATTCCTTGCGAGAAAGTCGGACTTTCGGGACCAGTTGCTGGCTCACTCTTGGTCGTTTGAACGTCGTACCTCGCGTGAGTCCTCATGTGCCTGGTGATCATGTCCCTCCGACAGGCTGCGTAGATGCACTGAGGACACTTGTAGGGCTTCTCTCCAGTGTGCGTCCGCTGATGAGTGCTGAGATGGTCGGACCTGCTGAAGACTTGTCCGCAAACTCGACAGGTGTAGGGCTTGACTCCAGTGTGCAACCGCATGTGCCGAGTGAGCATGTCCGACCTGGCAAAGCTGCGCTTGCACACGTCGCAAAGGTAGGCTTTGGCGGACGCGTCCTGGGGACCCTGCCGTCGATGCCGTGACGCCATGTGTTTCGCGAGTCTGTCATGTAGACTGAACATTTGTCCGCAAACCGGACACACGTAGGCGACGTCGGCTCCTGGCGGCATCTCCTCAACGACGGGCGACACTTCGAGGTTGTAGCGCACAGCAACGCTCTCCTTGGTTGTGGGTGAGGCGACGTCGCCCCGAACTACGGGCACGCTGACTGACCCTCGGGTCACGACACCGGGTGGCAGGAGTTGCAGAGCTGGCGGTCGACCCTGAGCCAAGTTCTTCATGGAGAGATCCAAGGGCGAGTCCTGAGGACTCGTGGAGTCATTCTCTAGGTTTATATTCTTCGAAGGATCAGTGGCACGTGGCCTCTTCTCCCAGCCGGGCACGTCCGAGTCGGAGTGACTTCGCTTTCTCGTCATGTCCGGCAAGTACTTGGTGTGCAGATAGTGTTCGAAACTGCACGACGAAGGGGAGACCGGGGTTAGGGGAGTCAGAGTCAAGGGAGTGAGCGGCGTCAACGGCGCCAGTGGTGATGTGGGTGATGAGAGCAACATGGGCGCGGTCGCACAATGGACACATCCACATCCAGAATACATGGGTATCGGTCTCGAATTATGGTTCTGCAGATGACTCGCGTGCTGATGATTCGGACTTGGCAGATTTTGATTGTTGTGATAGTTCTGATTGAGACTTTGATGATTGGGTCGGTTCGGTGGGTTCTTTCGATGATGTGAGTAATGAAGGAGATGATGACTGATTCCGGGTTCCTCTTCGGAGCGGGAGAGGAATTCCTCCTTCTGTCGGAGAGTAGCGAGGAAGCTGTTGCCCGGACTGTCGAGAATGGAACCGGTTGATGACCTCGGCGACCCGAAGATGTCTTCCTCCTCTTCGGAGGGAAGGACTGTTTCCTCGTAGCTGGCGCACTTCGGTGAAACGAGCGGTGAGTTCCGGTGTGCTTGCAAAATATCGACCACCTGCGACAAGCCTTTCCGTTTTCGTGATTTCGACTGATGATTCCGGTTCGCCGTCGCCGCCAGCGTGTTGTTGTTTGTACAGGATGGCGGTGGGGGTTTCGCCGGACCTGGTGGCGCAGCGGCGGCGTCCTCCACAGCGCTCTCGGCCATCGTCATCGAGGATGCGCGGCACCCGCCGCCTGGGCCCCTGATGCCGCCTACTACTCCTCCGTCCACCACCGTTTTGCCGCCCAATTCGTTCTGCAATCAAAAAATTTACTCTTATTAGTGAACAATAGGAAATAATTCAAACTCTTCTAAACCTTTATCGCCATTCATTAAGAATAAAAAAGATTTTTTTCATTTCAAAAATAAGGAAACAACTGAAATTAATGTAAACTACCTTTTTCGATCAGAAATTGTCAATGGTTTTAAAAAAATCTGTCTTTAGAACATGAAAATTAGGAGGAATTTACGAGAAAAACAAAATGCAAATTTATAGAAAATTCAACGAATAACGGAAGAAATACGGTTAATTAAAGAAATTTTAATTAAATTACCGTAATCTAACAACTTCCAGTAATTTATTCTTATTTTTTGTTAATTTAAATTTGAGTTTCATTTCTGGGTTAATTGAGTTTTCGGAGAAACCTATATATGCCCCGTGATTTCATAATCTTGTATCATATTTCTCTAAATTCTTAACCACAATTCTCTACCACCATCGTTTTTATAAACCATTTAAATAACAGAACTGTTTAAAATTGATAATATACACGTTAACGGAATTAAAGGTAAAATCGTTTATAACACATCGGGGAATACATCAGAAAGACTGTGGAGAAATGATGGAACAGGAAAAAGTAAGTTCTATAGACGCGTTGAATTGTCATTGAATGAGTATAGCAGCAGCAGCGGGACAGTATAATGCATTATAAAAAACAATCTCTTGAGAATAAAATTGATTATTCGAGAGACGAAGTTGGAAGAAAAAGTAATAAAGGAGTGAATTTTTTAAAAAGATAATAGCAATGAATAAAAAATTCTCAATAAACGACTAAAACGCCTCTATAATTAATTAAACCTTTTACTACTTTTCATTACATACATTTTCTAATCACTAAACTGAAAAAAAATTCTGGTTGAAATAACCAGAATTTTGATTATTTTCACTAGAATATCGTGTTAAATATACCCTTACTATTTTTTCCGGTTAGATTAACCAGAATTTTAGTTAATTTAATCAGAATTCTGGTTGCAGAACTTTTTTTTAGTGGTAATTTTAACTATTTTTCAAGTATTAACTTCCGAATTTATAATTTATTCTTCACAGTTGCCAAATAATTTATCTTTACAAAACTACTAAATTCCATATAAACTACTTAGTTTTTATCTCAAAAACATCAAACATTTCCAAGTTCATATACTTTGATGAAGTTTTTATTTCAGTTAAAAAATCAAAAAGCTACGATAAATTGAGGAAATTTCGCCTCAATTATAAACTTGCATTATAAGAAATTTTTTGATACAGGTAATTCAACGCCTACGGCGTTAATTTATCATATGAAAGAAGAATTTTAGAGACACCGCCTATCGAATAAAGACAGAGAATGTCTCTGCATATTTGAAATTTAAATATTCGATCAAATAAATCAAAGCATTTCTACTCTTATGCTTGTGTATATTTTTTAAATGCGTTAAACGTCATTAAATTGTAGATGATGGCAAGACTATTCTTTCAAAATAAAAAAAAACTTGTAAACGGGATATTCGAATTGAGAATCAGGTTTATCATATACTAATCAAGTAAAGCCACTTCATCTCATTTTTATAGCTGTGTGAGATTTTTTGTCGTGACTTATCATTCCTGTAAGTTATTATCGTTTTCATTCTATCTCTATTTTTCTTATTCACCTTCACTTCTTTTTTCTTCTCTTCTATTTTGTAAGTTATAGTCGGGAAGCAAACAAAAATTGATCTGCCGTGTCGAACAAAATGATTATGCTAATAAGGAGCAACAGGTGGCGGAAATCGTGTTTTTAGAGGAGGAGTACTTGGGGGGAAAGACTTTTTTATTATTTCACCATCTAACGCGCCAATATCGCTTTCACGAAATTTGCAAGAATGAGTCAGAGCCTTCTCTGATGATCCACCGACGAAAGGGGATTTAAATGTCTGTGCTTCATTTTTCTTTTTAAATTACTTTACAATATTGCGGGTGAGGTCTAAATAACTACAGTATAGATTCTGGGTTAAATAAAGGTATAAATTTCTAGATTTATTTCATGTTAGCGAATAAAATTGAACGCCTTTATAATTGCATAAAAATAAATCGTTTATTGCTTTATTCTCCTGAATAATTGCTTCCTCATTGAAAGAATTTTTTAGCATTTTTAAAATTTCATTAACATTAACTGTAATTATTTAACACCATATATAAACGTTTTATTTTTGTCTGTTTTTTAAATTTTCATTTTATATTGTATGAATATGTTAATTAAGATATAAAGCTAATTAGTTTTAATTTTTTTAAACATGTGTATCGTTTAATGATTGTTTTCGTGTCGTGAAACTCAATATTTATATGTATGTATGTGCGTATCGTCCAGTGTTTAAAAAAAAGAGACAACTTGTTTCTGACACAGTATAATTAAAGGGAAAAAGACGTAGAAATCGTGCAAAAAAGCAGCTTTAGGATCTTGAGACTTTAACTTTCAGTTATTGATCTTGTTGCGCTACACGTGGTCGAATCATTAATAATCAATGCGTAGGAGGCACGTGGTTGTCAATAATATACATGTATATAGCGGAGTAATTTCCTCGCTCACAACATGGAACGCCAAGTTCCAGTTTGCAATATAATATTCTGGATCGCGAGTTTAGAGCCTTAGAACAAATCCATGCACGGTAGCTGATATTACGAGATCAGTGGAGCAGTTAATGATCACTCTTAAGCATGCAGAAGGCTTGGCTCGAGGAAAAATCTTCGAGAGCACGGCATATATATATATATATATATATATATATAAATGTACGAGAAACAGCGGAAATCAGTCTTCAGCTATTTCTCGGTGGTAATTTATGTTTGAGTGCGCGAAGCGAAAGCTTTTAAAGAAGCGCGCTCATAAAATAAGTTATTTAATAAAAATTCAACTCGAAATTGGTACTTTTTTCAATCAAAAGTACAAAGCGTATAATAATTATTACTATTTTTATTAAATGAAACACTGGAAAAAAATTTTCAAACCAATATATTATATTGCTTCCAAGACGCCACTTAATAAAATCAGGAAATTCCTTAGCTCCCCCTATGTCGCAATGACGAGAAAAAATTTCAGTAAATTTGAAACTCTTCTTAGGTTTTACAAATCATTTTTACCGATAACAATTACATACAGTGTTTTTCTTTCTATTTAGAAAAATATTTTTATTTTTACTTATGAAAAGGTTTTTCTGATAGAGAAAGTCGTCTTATTTGCTGTTGGAAAAAATTTACAATATCAATTTATAAAAACAAGAATGTTTGCGAATATAAAAAGAGTCGAGCGGTAAAAGTTGAAAGAGACAAACAATTTTTTCATTTTATTTTGATTTTTCACGTCTGTGGTTTTTTCTGCGAGCATGCGACAGACGTACAACAAATACCAAGGAGCCAACAATGTGTTCAGAAGAAACGAATCGGAATAATATTCTATTCCACAAATCTAGTTCGCTAGGGATTATATTGTTAATTCATACGGAAAACAGGTCTTGTAAAGTGGTCTCAAGATTCAAGACATTGAACGGAAGTTCTATCCGAACTGAAAATAAAAGTCGTAATTCAACAAGAACGACTTATTTATGCCATTTGCCTACAGCGTCGACGAAAAAGCAGAACTGTCTTAATTTGCGGGAAGTGACGTTTTCTGAAAAGAAACCTGCTCAAAGCGTTTGCAATCACTATTCGACTTTACTTTATTGCCCACAGTTTGCGTTTCAATTACAGAATTATCGAAAGTACCCAATGGGAAAATTACAACTAGCGGAGTACTGCGCCAGCACTGGCAGTACTAGCAGCTACGCTGACAGACAGCACTGGCATAACTCTGGGATGATAACGCTGTCTAGCGCTGCCAGACAGCGCTGGCGCAGTACTGGACCAGTGCTGGCTGAGAATATTGCCGCAATAAATGCCGTATTGTTATTAATTAGTCGTAAATTAATAATTATAAATAATTTAACAACAAAATGGTAAATAATATTAGTAAATAGTTATTATTCATAAAATATTTCTCTTCTTAAAGAAATTGTATAAAAGATGGAGACTAACAATGGATATAGTAAATGAAGTGTAAAAAATGGTTTATAACATTTAAAAATTAAATAATAAACAATTACAGTAAGTGTGATTTTCATATTTTAGTACCTAACGATTGGAATCTAGAAATATCGCAAACCTATGAAAATAAACAAAATTGCTGACGAGGGGAATCGAACCTACGACCTACGGACTAACAGACTAACGCTCTAACCACTATGCTAACGACACATGTGTACAGTAAAGTATTAATATCTCAGTACCATTCAGACATACAATTATTGAGTCAAAGATGAGAAAAAATAGGGATACGTTAGAAATAATAAATTGAAATAAAATAAATGAAACTAAATTTTTAAAAATTAAATTACTTTACTTATTGCATTTAACATTTTACGTAATTCTTAAATTACGTGGTAATTTTTTAATAATTTTTTATTCGTAGTAAGAAGTATAATAGTATTTTAATAGGAACCAAATTATTATTGAGATTAAAGTTTAAATTTTGTTTATAATTTTAATTTGTTTAAATAATTTATTATTTACAAAATTAGACAATTGTGTTAAATTGTTATTATTAAATTTAATAAGAATAAAAAATGAACAACTGAAAAGTAAAATATTAATTTTTTTCAATAAATTTATATTTATAAACATTTATAAACTTTTTTTATAATTTTTTTCAAGTTTATGTCAAAAAAGCAATGTTGGCAAAGAGCGTTGTGAACAATTTTTCTATACTCAGCCAACACTTGCCGCCGTGGCTTGTCCAAGCTTTGGCGAAACAAAAATTCTGTACTGCGCCAGCACTAATTGTCGAGGCTCGGCTAGACTACGCCGAACAATCGTCTGAGTACTAAGCCAGTGGTGAACATCACCATGTTAAGCAAGTAAATTTATATTGTCACGATAGGAATCAATCTTGTAACGAGAAAAAATTTGTTTAACTCTTCTACCATCGAAA